AATGCAGAATACCTTTCATGTGATTTAAACTATAATTAATTATTAGAATTATTCTTTTGCTTATAGTGTTCAACGTACAGTATATTTAAGGGAGTTTTAATTCGACTAAATTAATATATAAATATGTCGCATAGTGAAAAAAATTAAAGAGAATCAATAAAGCATAGCAAAATTGTAGGCGTAACAAAATTGTAATTTTGCGTTTTGTAGCATAACAAAAAGAAAGGCGATGGATGCTTTGCTTCTAAATAAGTAGGGAGGTAATTATGCAGCTTTATTACGAAATTGTTTTAGTGCATTATGAAAACGCTGGTAATTACACGATATTTTATAGTTATGTTTGTAAACAGCAGAAATGTAAACATTAGATGACGACTTTGAAAAACCTTAAATTTTGTGGTCTAATTTTATAACGATTAGGAGGTTATTTACACAGCATTGTGAAAATAGTTGTTCATCACAAGAATAACAAAAGAATCTTTTTGGGACATTATCGTATTTCTAAGCTAAGCGCATTGCGTATCAAAAAGAGCCACTTTTGCTCCTATTTTTGATGAAAAATACTATTCCTGAAATCGTGGCAGTATGCTTTTACTTTAATCTTTCTTTACACAAATCGCTTATGTTGATTCATTGACAAGTAAGTGCTGAAAAATTACTTTTGATTTGTCCACAAATTAGCGATTCAATCTTATACGTGTAACGTCCAACCTTCAGTATCCAACAGAAAATAGTCCAACCATATCATATTTAAATGACCCAAGATAACCGAGTGGTTTTAAAAGGCATCAACAATAGGCCTACACGAAAATGTAAACATTGCTAAATTTCCTCATGTATCGCTTCCTCACTTAGTCATTCCCTACCATCGTTCGTTTGTTGATTTTTCTATCCTCTTATCAATATCATTTTACATTTTCTGTTCTGATTCCTTCGAATTCAAATCTTTAAATTCATTACTAAATTGTGTGTGAGTGAAAATTGAACGATTACATTGAAAACATCATCTGGGCGAGACCTCTAGTATGTCATTACACTATACTACAATATATTCCTTCAAGATTAATACAACTTTATTGTGCATTGAAAATGAAGGAACTAAACAAAAATAACAAAAGTGCTTGTAATTTCGAACCCAAATTGAATTTAAAGCTCTATAAAAATATCGTCCACGTTTTTTTGATAAGCCTTAATAGCCATACGCAGCGAAATATTACTTTAGTTTGTTATTCCAGCTCAAATACTGGAAAGCAGGTACTGCGAGTAGAATATAGGGTAACTGTCCATTGAATTCATTCTATTACCATATAAATATCCGCACGGATACGTACTCGTGACGTGTTAACGATGTTACTCGATGTTGTGATATCTGCCCTATATCTACCTGTGTTTCTCATGGAGTTAATGTTATTCATTTATGAAAACAACGTGTATGTGCAACGACCTTATATCTTAGTTGACCTTAATCTTTCTATGCTATTTTACACATTTCATGCTCTAATGCATAAGCTCTGGTCGTAAAATGATACAGATTTAACCTTGTAAATTTGTTATCGTAAATAACAGATCTGAATAGCCTACGTCATTGAGGAATAAGGGGTTCATAAACTACATAAGCGTTTTGAAAATTTTTTGTATGTTGCATCCTGTTTCTTGGCAGTTTAAACAAACATATTTATATTGTTTATACATTCAGGTATGGTTTTAAAGCCTTGGATATTCTAATATTAAGTCTTTATTTGAGAAAACAGTTAGTTTCGTCTTCCTGCAGCGCAAACAGTAGTTAGAAAGATGCGTAAAGTGCTCCTTTCAATCCCTAGTGTAAAAAATCATGTAGATGTACATTTTTCTCGCTGAGCTTGCCATAGAAAATAGTTTTGATTCATAAATATATTGTAGCTAGGTGCCTTACCCCGGCTATACTATGGGAAAAGATGCGGAAGAAAATAATATGGTTCCATACAGTAAAAAAAAAAAAAAAAAACAGTCACACACCCACCATTTAATATTATAGCTTAATATACTTCCTTATACTTTTATAGTCCTTATGGATCTGCTGAAGACAGTTTTAAGATGTCACGATTTTCGTATAGGTTGCTTTGGTATTTTTATAGTAATCGTGCTTTGTTGTTAATATTTATTTCTTCTTATTTAATGTAACAATCAAAACAGCTGATTGTTTTAGCTGACAGGCAGTGATGTTACTTAATGACCACAGATATTGCTTGATACACATAATTAATAAGGGGTTCCTCCCTTATTTATAAACAGGTTTTTATTTTAAAATTTGGCATCGTGAGAATTCTAAAAAAATCTTCTGAGAAAAAAATTCTACAGTCGTTTTATTTACCCATGTAATTTTCATCTTGTGTTTTATGTTATCCCAGTTAAAAATGTTAAATCATCAATCAATTAAAATGCTCACTTTGTAGCTGAACATGATAAAAAAGTAATTTTTTTCAAAACAGGACTTTGCATTATTTATATATCCAACAAATTTCAAATCACTACAAAAAGCCGTTATAAATAAAAAATCTTTCAGTAAAAACAAATTGTGGCTGCACTGGTAATTATTGAGTTTTGGAAATGTTCAACGTGATATTTTAGTTTGTCTTTTCTCCAGGAATGATGCCTTATGCTCGGTAGAGGGTAAAAATAGGTAGGGAAAAATCTGGCATGTTAAGGATATACCGGTAAGTGAAAATCGCAGTCATGTTAATGAGGGTTCTGTTAGGTTAGGATGGGCATAAATTGCGCCAACTGACTTGCGTCAGGTAGTCGGGTAATCCTGAATTGCACCAACTACTGCAGGGAGCCACCCGAAACTTTCCTTAACTAAGCCAAGTGGCAGCCGTTGACAGAATAATTGAGTAGGTTGGGTTTGGTTAGGTTAGGTTAGGCTAGGTTAGGATATGACGACACGTAAACAAGGACATTCCTTCTGCCAGCAAAAAACTCCTACCAGGCTTGGGCTTGGCTCAACTAACGAACATTTTGGGACCCTTTGAGGGCTTGGCACAACTAAGAAACTCTTTGGCGCAATTAATTCACGATTGGCAGGTTTGCTGCGGTGGGGCTATCGTTACAGATGCCCGATTATGGTCTTAAACGAGTATCAGGTCACGATGTAGACGAGTAGCCGAGCCGGTAACTTTTCCTTATGCCGCCCTAGTGAGGAATTCCACGTAGGGTGTTTGTTAGACATATCGTTAGACATATACGGGTACAGTCCATTCATTAGGAACCAGCATAAATAATTACGATTCACTTCAGCTTATTACTAAACAAATAGTGAACTGCGTTTTCTGCTGAATGAAAACTATGAAAGATATGCATCCAGTTATTCACACCACATTCACCACCAGGCAAAAGGCCCTTTATATTGAGGGTGGCGGCAGGTACAGTAGACACCGCGAAATAAAATATTGCAGACATTAATTTTCCATTGCAATATGTATTGTTTCCATGGTGTTCTTATAACACCGGCGTTGTGATGAAATAAACTCACCATCAACGAATGAGTATATAGTTGGTTAAAAAGTATATAGTTTGAGGAAAACTTCTTAAGGCCCGCCAACTTGTTTATTACACGCATTATAAAAGCCAATGTTTCCAATCGATTCCCCTAGAATCTGGACAATTCCTTCACGCTCCATATATAAATTAGCCCATAGGGTCCAATCAATATAATGGACAATTTCAGCTTCAATATCATCACAACTTTGGGTATTTGCCATACTAGTGTGTTTTGATTCTCATTTACTAATCTATTTTAACGTGACCTTTCTGCAAATAAGAGCCTAAGGGAATAGCGGATTTTTGAGGGTTTATTTGAGATAAAGGGTGGACCAAAAAAACAGGGACAATTTTAAAATGTTATTACTCAGCTGTTATAAAGGCTGGAGAGTTCATTGATGTGACAAAAGAAAGTTTATTTGATGCCATTTAGAGTATAGTTACTATGGATCATCAATGGTTACCGCAACATCGTGCCTTTGTCATAGAGACCTTTTTGAAGAATAATTTGACTTTCATTTCTACTCAACGTCAATTTCGTTTTCACTTCAACATTGGCCGTAATGGTGCCCCAAACCGAATAAACTACTCAAAGATGGATAAACAATGTCCTAAACACGGCTTTAGTACTCAAAATTAAACCTAGGCAAATTTAAATTTTAATGCAATGTTTTGCAAACGGTTGGCTTTAGACGCTCGACGCAGCACACTCGCGCGAACCATTTCAATGTTTTCCGGCGTTCAAACAGTCCGAGGTCTCCCACTAGGTTTTACTTTGAGTGCAGAAGACGTGTTCTGGAAATTACTTGCCCAACTTCAAATAGTTTTTCGCTTTGGGGTTGCACCATTACGGCCAATGTTGAAGTGAAAACGAAATTGACGTTGAGTAGAAATGAAAGTCAAATTATTCTTCAAAAAAGTCTCTATGACAAAGGCACGATGTTGCAGTAACCATTGATGATCTATAGTAACTATACACTAAATGGCATCAAATAAACTTTCTTTTGTCACATCAATGAACTCTCTAGCCTTTATAACAGCTGAGTAATAGCATTTTAAAATTGTCCCTGTTTTTTTGGTCCACCCTTTACATCAGGTAAAATACGATGACACATTTTGTTTGGGTATTTCCATCTTTAATATAATCACATTTTAAGTTTTAACTTTATAAGGCGTTGTTTTACTAAGAGTTTTAACAGGATAATATAAATAAATACCAATAATTTATGAAAATGGATTTCCGAATTAAGTTTTGAGGAATAACTTTTTTTTAGATTTCGTCCATTGCTTGTGACACATTTTTTTGGTAAATACAACTTCAATAACTCTTATGTTTGTATTCTTTTCTTTTTCGCTATCCAAAAGTAAAACTCAATCAACTATGAATTGCCTGTTGATTTACACTTTAAGGATGTAATATATTTTACTGTGGTAAAACTTTTAATTTCCTCTTAATAATGTGATAACTTTTTTTATTGTTTCAGACAAATTCTCCGGATTTTCTAATCTAAGGTAAGCTAATGAGTTTCTATAAAGTAAGAAGATCTTTGACAAATTTCTAGAGATCACGTGTTAATCATGATACGATAATTGTACACTGGATTATCATTTAGGCGTACATCAGAGCTAGCCCTCTGAGATTTATCAAAACCTGTTCAAGTGATTGGTAGTAGTAAATAACCACTTTGTAATCAGTATTACGATGCAAAGACACGATGGTTAAGATTAAAATGAAAAATAATTGTACAATTTGTTAGTTACAACTATTTTACTTACAAAGAGAGACTACGAGTATCTTATTCTTAGGTCAACACATTAATTTACAAGTAGACTGATATGATTAAAAATCCCTTACTCAAATCTTTAGGATAATCAAAGACGGATAAGATATTTATTAATAAACAATGTTCCAAACAGCTCTATTGAATACTGAGAAGGACAATCTCTTTTTGGCTACCCGAATATTTAAATTATTATTAGGTGTTCTATTACATTAAAGATTGAACATAGGGACAAATCGTATAAAACCGTGTAGACAAGTTTTAATGAAAACATTCAATGAGTTAACTAACACTCTTGACATTACAGTACCTAACAAAGTATTGCTTTTAAATCAACAATTTCTCACTAGACAGGTAGTTAAAAACGTTTTCATTAAGTGTAATTGCTTCAATACAGCTTCAATTAGCAATTGTTATATGAAAAACATGTGTGTCCAGTTTTTATAACGTTCTATTAACAGCATTCCAAAGTCAGTGATTCTTTGTGCCCGTTAATGGGTTATTAATATTAAATAAAACGGTGGTTGAAGTATATCAAGGTCTCTTCTCAAAATGGTATTCCATCATGGTTATCGTTTTATTTTACAGTACCTTACTGATGGTATAATTCATTAAGTGCTAATTATTAAGAGACAGTTGATTAGTTTTTAGGCTCCAGATGGCAGTTGTACAATCATACTTAACATTTTTAATTAGCATTGAGTGGGTTGTTTCGTAAATTCGTATTAATAGAGATTTTTATATAATATGGACTGGAACGATAGAATTAATATCATTCATCTAATTTCTAGCATTTTTCTGATTCATTAAAGTTTTAGAACTACTATTATTTGCAACTGGCCTAATACTATAACTAAATATTGTCCAAATTTTAAAACATAAAAAATGAAACCAAAACATCCTAAAGTGGGCTGCGCCTTAGTTATTTGATAGCATAATATCACTTACATAATCAATGTTTCACAAGAGTGGTGCAATTCTTCAATATAAAATTATTATATAGTAATTCAAACTAATACCACAACTTATACCTTTCTTAAAATTTCTGTAATCACTCTTAAAAACCATTAAAATATAATGGTAAATGTTTAAAAATTTCCGTTCTCAAAATTTGAACAATTCAGAAAAATCCTTTATACAGACAGACTTACTTTGTATAAACTATTCATTCATAGTCGGTATGTATAAATATATATCCATAGTGTTAATGTCTATGTGTTTAAGCCCTTTGGAGCCCTGTACTACAGGCATAGATTAAAAGACTCCTTTTATCTATGCTACAGGCTGGCCACGTGTGGGTAAACGCATTTTCCGCCTCTATTAAACTAAAGCAGCAAATTTACTTTACTGAAATTAAATCATGCTGCAACATACTAACTCCCCTTAGCCATTTTAATATCAGTACTGTAAATTATTCTCGTAAACGGAAAACCTTTTTGCAAACAAATATCGTTGACAGATGCACCTATTCAAATTGCGTCTCTGATTAGATTTTGTTCAATAACACCTCGTGTGATAAAAATATTATGAATATTAATATCCAAATGAATAATCTGTTATACTGATTTCAATCTCAGCTGGCGTCCAAGGCATTAAATTAATTTAACCTCGAGTCGCCATTATTTTCATTGCAGTTTAATTCACCGGTTTTACCCAGGTGGTAATGAGTAGCATTTGCTACAGTGCAATTACAGCAATTTCTTTCCAAACTATTTTGTAGATCTTAAAAAAAACAAATAATTTAGTGTATTGAAGCGTTACTATGCACCTAATGGTTATGTAGAAAATTCTAAAAAAATTTAAATTTAAAATTCCCATGTTATTCTTATGGAGAACAAGTAGACTGTTGTAGTTTGCTTGTTTATGAACATATTTTGATCAAATTTGGATAATGTTTTTATTTCTTACTAACTATTGACATGAAAAAAAAAACAGTTTTACCCTCCCTGATGCAGCAAACCTAAGTTCTTGTTAAATTAATTCTATTTAAATATGAAGTAAATGTTATATTTTTAAGTAGACATTTTAGTGTAAATCCAATCTGGCAAATGGGAATTCGCTTAGTCTGCAGGTTTGCTGCGGCGGGGGTATTTTATTACTGTAAGAGGACACAATTAGCTGTTCTAGAAAATCCATTTTGATGAATTATTATTAGAGCTAAAACACCCTTATTAGTGTTGAATTATTTTTTTGTCCAATCGATTTAGTTATTTAGTCCCTGTTGATGGATAAACATTAGTATCAATTGGTTTTAACCAAATATAGCTAACTTCCTGCATTGTACAATCAAAATTTTTATTGGTTCATTTTTCTATGGGAAAATAAAGTATTTAGGACCTTTAATTCCTTTTGAAAATGTAAATTCCACTTTTTAATAGCGTTTAGTCTAGCAAAAATAATGCTTTCCCCTAGGAAGTGAAAACTGTTTCAGGCTCTCAAATTAACATATTTTTAACTCGGCCATTGGTTCAAAATTAATACTATTTTAAGATAAGAAATTTTCGTTGACTTTAAAAAAGATTACATAGACGATGTAGATTATTATATAGATTAATGATCCAACGCAAAGTGACGTAATAAGAAATCATCTTCATAACACCACACAGTACTGCGTTAAAGTTTCTTCTCTAAATGAGTTCTACTCGAGTGTTTTTATAGTCAGCAGTCTCAGACAATTGACTGCCACGTTTATGAGAGACATTTTAGAAACTCTTACGGTATATAATTAACTATCGAGCTCCTTCGGATTTAGTCAGATCATCATTGATCATTGATTAACTCTTAAGAAATGGATTTGAAGAACTTTTGTATAGCGAAATTAGACTCAGAAATCTTACAGTCTGCAATAAAGAAATCATCACAGTTCTCAGAAATCTTACAGTTAAAGAATAAGTTTCACGAGATTTTTCTCACTATCCTCTCTCAAGGTTTATGTACTGTTTAGCTTCTAAGGTGCCTAACTTTATCACCATTCGTTACTTTTCAATCTCTAAAAATCCACCCTTTATTTACAGTTTTCGTCCAAGTACCGTGTTACATAAGTTTGCCAGCTATTTTTACATTGCTCAACCTAGCCTTGATTGTATCTCCGCCGTGGTCACTTTACTGCTATCATGGGCGTCAACAGTCCCGGATCACTAAGGGCTGTAGGGAGACCAGGATACTAATTATGTGTGTACTGCACCGTACAAGACCTGGTAACCTTGATATTGCTCTATGTGATTATATGACCTTGATCCACACGTGCCTATATACGCGTGTGATGAAGGATATGTCCGTTTTTATACGGTTTACAGTTATAAAATATGATGTGTGATTACAATTCACGTTTTTAGGGTGGTGATCGATAATTATAGTGCTGCTAGAAGTTATTTTGGAAGAAGGTCGAGTTTTTTTTTAGTTTTTTCTTGTCATGTTGTAGAACTGGTTTGGGTTTTGCACGTTTTTCGAATTAATTACGAGGAGAAAATTGCCTTTGTTGAGGCACCCTTGAGATGTTAGATTTGTCTCTTGGTAAATTTAGCTACAAAACGTACTAAAGGAACCACCGTGATGTGGACCCTCAATTCCCACCATGATAATGTATAATTGACCGTACTAGTGTGTAAATTAAGTATTGGAACAAATATGTATTTTTTAAACCGAAACAGATGGAAATGTTCTGTTTGTGGCATTGATTGTTAACAAAGGATGAGCAATTTTTAACTAAAAATATGTTTTAACCCCCCTAACAGGGTAGGGGGTGACTTTTTTAAAAATAGCAACCCCTATTGAGTGACCCCTCATTTCGAAGGGTTTGTCAAAAGAAACACAATGACGCAAAACTCGAGGTGGATATCTCATTCCTAGCCAAAATGGCAGGTTTCCCAAAATCTGGTTTATTTTAAAAAGCACCAATAATTTCACAACTATGGAAACAAATCTGTATTTTAGCGAATTTCCTTATAGGGAAGTAGCTGTGGCCGTAGGTCTCATGGTAAGATCAATAGGCCCGGGACCTATTTAATTTTTCATTTTGATGTCCCCAGAGGCCAAAAATACCATTCGTTCAAATTTTTATATGTGTGTCCGTCCAGACGATAACTTGAGTAGTTTTTGTCCGATTTGGATAACATTAGGTTTGAAGGTGTAAGGCGGAATAAACTTGAATGAGTTCGCGAACCAGCATGATGGAACCATGGGAACGTTTTATGGGGGGGGGGCTTTATATAGTAAAAATGGGGGTTTCTCATTTTTTACCCTTAAAATACAAAATTTTTCAATTTTTCTCCAGACCTTTTTAAAGAGCTTAAAAAACAAATAATTTAGTATAGCAAAGTGTTTTTGTATAGTGATTGGTTAGGGAGAAAATTAAAAAAATGTTAATTTAAATTTTTTTATTCTTATGGAGAATATTGTAAAATGTTGTACTGTAGTTGGCTTGTTTATGGATATATTTTCATAAATCTTGGCGGATTTATTTATTTTCTACTAAGCCATTGATATTTTAATAAAAACACACTTTATTAGTTTCCCTGTAGCAGCTAACCTAGGTACTAGTTAAACATAAATGTTAATTTAATAGATTAATTGAAAATCAACCCAGGCAAATGGAAATTCGCATAAGGTGCATAGGTTTGCTGCAGCGGGGGTATTTTTATCTATCAACATGCAGCCTCAAGTAACAACGGAAACCACCCATCAACGCGTAACAGTAAACAGCTCTCATTTAACCAAACACTAACATTGTTC